CTGTTCGTTCACACTCTTTTTTTTTCACGGCTTTTGAAGAAAAAATTAATCTGAAATTTGAGCTGATTTTGCGCTGATTTTTCTACCACAGGTATTAAATACAAAACGATCCAATTTATCTGTGTGTTGCTAATTTCAAAAGCTCTCACTATTCATTGAGGCTTAGAATACACGGTGTCTATCATCAAAATTTTGCTAATAATCCTAATTGAAATTCTAGGAAAATCTATCTAACAAATTTTAAGAGTATGTTACTTTTTGCAAATAATCATCATTCAGAACAAATGGATTCCCAATGCTGGAGAAGGATTGGAAGGAAGAATCTTTGTCGAATGGCAAAATGTGGAAAGCAATTGCTACTCTCGAACTCCACTACGGCCTCTCCACGTTGCTTCAGTCAATGGTCACTGTTGACTACAGGAACGTCAGCCGCAACGCCTTGTACTTGGATCAGGTGAATTGCTTTAATCATACTGATTCGACGGGCCCGCACTTCAGCAGGCAACCAGCATAAGCCGAAAATGTCGAAGTACCACTAATATGAATATATCAAGGAATTACTTACACTTGGATTGTTTACGTGAATCTCCGATAGTAGAGAGAAGCATCTCGCCACAAGAAGGTCTGTCCATCATAAGGGAAATTTCTAGCGTGAAACCCCTGATTGGCCAGTGTGACACACATTCGCTTGTTCATCCCAAGAAATCTTTGTCTTCTCCCAAATTCATATCGGTCATCCATAAACCGGGGAAGTTAGGAACTGCACTTTGTAGAATTAGCTATGAACTGTAGCTAATCAAAGCATCCACAGAAACACTGAAGGCGAATTGGAACTCAGCTTTCTTGGCTGGCAAAACATACTATCAAAGCGGTCGCAGCATTCCTTCCGTTTGCGAACTTAGTTGGTGATGAAAATGTGCCAAATCAAAGCACGACAGAATCATTCACTATTAGTGCTTTTGCCACCTATTTTTAGCTCTGAGAACCAGTGAAATAGTTATTGCTTTCGATGCGATCCCAGATTTCTCTAGAGAAACTGATTAAGCAGTTTCTAAAAATTATATGTCATTGATAATTTCTCGTTTTTCCAAGTCAAATCAAAATCGAACTCAAACTTCCCCGCAGTTTACTTGTTGTAAGAATCAACAGCAAATGAAGCTAATCCAAACTGGGGCACGTGGCAAGGTTTTCGTACAAACAGTTCCTCTTCTCGGGTTACTCCGAATAAAGCTGGTGGGAGTTTTGGCACTCCCTTAATTTTCTTTTTGCGCAAAACTGAAAAGTTGTGTTCTTATATACCGTATCTTTTCAGACTTTGCCAGTATAGTTTTCTCACTTTTTGCCTCTTTTCGCCACATTCCTCCTCCCAGGAAAGAGGAAAACAAGAATTACGCCGTGCTTAAAAATAAATGAAAAACGTGCTAAAAAAGTGGATTATTTTCAAATTTGGCTTTTCAAAGTATGCATTAGCTAGGCAGCGCAAATGCATTTCAGTTGCCACTATCGATGTCACGTGATTATTACGTGAAACCGCAATTCATCAGCGAGCTGAATCTCTACAGGGATAACATGATAAAAGCCGTAAAACAGTTCAGAACTGATATCCAATCACCTGCCAGTGACGAAACCATTCTCAGTGTTATCTTTTACATTTATTTGTTCAATTATTCATTCATTGGGTGAGAATGCTCTTAAATAGCGACTTAAACAGTCCATAACGACACGCTTTTTGAAATGAAAAAGAGTTTCAAAAGAGACATTTTTGTGTGCAGTTCACAGATTTTCCTTAGTTTGAGTTTCGAAATAAATGAGCTTGACTCAGTCGGGTAATATTGGAACCTCCTTCTTGAATTCAGTTCAGTCGGGAAGGAGCTTATAGTAACTCAGTGAGTGAGGAAATAACTGAAAATGATGGAAGCACACAGAGTGAATGCTTTCCCAGTGCGCTCGCAAATTAGCACAACAATTTCAGGAGACGACGAAGGCCATTCAACTGGAGGTATCACTGGCAATAGCAACAATGCCCGGTGAAGAACTGAGAAATTATGAGCTGACGTACAATCTTTATACTCTGGATGCTCTTAGTGAAGCATTTCCAAACATTTCTTGGAATGATTATCTAGAGACGCTGCTTGAGCCGGTAAACTACAGCATTTCGCCTGAATCTTATTTCTTTTTCTGTCAAAAATCCCCCTTGTCGAAACAATGAGCTAGTAACCCACTTTCAAAATTTTAAATTTTATTGAACGTTTTCCAAGTCATTGCTAACTGTAGGCCTTAAAAAACTAAAGGATAGTGGCAGCAGCTTGAATAGGCTATTCACATTTGTTTGATTTGCGAATGTTCGGTAACTAAGCAAAAGAAAATAGCATCAAAAATGCTCAATTATTAATTCCAGAATGTACAGAAAAATGCCGACCCGAGAAAAAACGAGTATATCCTGGAGATGCCCACCTACTTCGGGACGTTGAATACTTATTTGGAAGGAAAAGTATACTCAAAAAGAACATTTGTCAATCTCCTGATGCTTCGTTTTATTGCGGTTGGCAGTTTTTTATTTTAAAATGATCCAAATTTAATTAAACAGCTACAATGTGGTGTCATACCCAAGCAATTTTTGTTACTAAACCTCATGGGCATACAATAATTGAGCGGATTAACATTCAGTTGACGTTTTTGGAATCATTGAACCTTCTCTTTCTTGCAGTGATGTGATTGAAATAATATTTTCGAAAGGGATGGCTTATTAATGCATTCGCGTGCGCAGTCAATGATGAAATTTGCATTCAGAATAAATCAGCAAACAGTAAAAGACAGATTAGAGCAAGCATTTTAAGTCCAGCTGTGAATTATTTAAATGTAAACAAAATAAAAATACCGGCTCCGGTACAAGGATACGTTTTTTGCGCTCGCAGGTTTTTTTTCGCCAGCGGCGCTTTCTTCCTAGCAGATGCTTCTAGCTAAAAGAATTGGGACTGGCCACCACAACTGTTAGAAATCATTACAGTGACT